TTTTTTTTTTTTTTTTTCAAGATTCTCTATTCGTCCGATTCTACCGCCGATGGATGATCGGCGTAAAAACGGTCCCGGATTATCCGATAATTCGGCCGATCTCTCCTTTTACGCTGTTACAACGGCCTGACCGCGCGATTATCGCGTTCCAATTCGTTCCAGACCTGGCGGCGATGAAAAAAAGCGGAGAAAGAGAAAAAGAGAAGAGAGAGAGGAAGAGAAAGAGAGAGAGAGATAAGGCGGGTTTATATATATATATATATATATATATGTACGTGCGCATTCACACCCCGGCAGCGATCGGAACGACCTTAATGCACGCGAGGCTCCCGAGGAATGCAGATGCGCGCGTATATACCATAAGCCGCGCGCAGTCTCTCGGAGATGATTAATTCGTCCTGGTACCGTCGTGAGATCCGCTTGTGAGAGATGCGCAGAGAGGAGAGAGAATACACTCTGTGACGAAATCCCGCGGCACGTCACGCATCGATATTCATAAATGTCACATCGAGAGGCCTCCGATTTCCAACGGGATTGACCTTACGCATTAACATCTTGACGTCATTAGTCGCTCGATCGCGCGCCCAAACAGTTACAGAAAATTAGATACTTTATTTTTTATTTTTTTCAAGCACTACCAGTTATAATAACGGAACAACGGGATTCACCACCGTAATTTTCTACAGAGATAATGTTGTATCCCCCGATGAAAAAACGTTTTTATTTTACAAATTTATTGGAAACTTTATAGAGCAAACAAAAAGATTGTATTATTTTTATTTTAAATTAAACGCTTCCTCGCGATTGAATGTTGATGTTAAATAGTTCAAAGAGAGAGGTTTTGACGTCGAATGGCTTCAAATCTCTTAGACTTGTCTGTTCGCAAACGCGCAAAACCTTACAGCGTGTTTTCCCGGAAAACTTGATTGCGCGCAAACTCAAGAAGCGCATCAATTAGATCGGATGCAGCAATTCACTGTGCATTCTCTGTTCTCGCAATCTAATCGCGTTTTTGCTATCACCGCTATTACCTACGTACAATCATTTCTTTATCGTTTGTTTACGGTGAATCTCACCGTGTGTACATGTCGATGTTTATACGAATTCCCTCTCCGTCTTTCCTGATGTATATTCCGCCGTAATCTTACGACATCGCCGGCGTAACGTCCGTTATTTCGCCTGCATCCGGTTTTATCGCGCGCGCGGATCTCGCGCGCGGTATGTGTGTGCGCGAGAGTAGCCGCGGAGTATATTACCTATACACTCTGTGTACGTATCTATCTCCATCCGCGTTTTCCACTCGCCTGTATCTTAAAAGAGAATACACGCGCGCGCGGACGTTACTTTACTTGTCGCCGGACGATAGGGAACGCGGACATTCGTGACTACGACATTAGTCTTTTGTACTCTCGCCGGCGTCCCACGACGTCGATCTCTCCCCTCTCTCTCTTCTTGAGATCTATTGCTACTTTGTATTCGGATTCGCGCGTCCCGCTTGACTGCACCCGTCTGTCCATTCGGTAATCTTATTTATGCGTATACGTACGGCGCGTATGAGAAAAAACGCGCCTACCGCTTGCGCGGCTTATTTTCTCTTAGCTGGAGAGCGACACGCGTCCTCCTCTTCGCGAGAGGAGATCGCGGCGAAAACCGTAAAATTTTTTTTCTCCCGACCGAGAGAGGAAGAGTCGCCTTAGGTGTTCTTCGGTGAGGACCACACAACGCGCGCGACAACGACGCTAACCGAAAGCCGGTTGCACGCGCACACAAGATACAATAGGGACGATCGGTATAAACTGTCCAACCGGAGCTTAGAGTGTGTGCAAACGAAGCTGAACATCGCCGCTTTTTATCTCTCCCCCTTCCCCTCTCCACACACATCCGTGTACTCCGCGTGTGACGATGTCGTTTATTGTATTTACGATATTTACGTTTCAATTCAACGCGCGCGTGTACAAAACACACTCGCTACCGTGTTTTTTTGTTTTAATCTCACCCACCTTTTACAGCGTGTGGTCGCGTTTTTTTTTAAATACATTTATTTATTTTTGTGAATTTATAATTTTATTTCGATATTTTTCTCGAATTTATTTGTAGGAACAAAATTATATTTCGTATTATTCTGGAGAAAATATTTTATATATCTTATTTTTCGTATCTTTGTCGTGTCTCTGTGTTAACGGCGAATGTTTCATAATAAACCTGTATATTTGTGCGACAGTAGAGGTGACAAATATTATTTGTCCTCACCTCTGCTGTATTCGTTGATTATCGATTACGACTCAATCGACAACAGATTCGAAATGAAAAACAGAGTCGAAGTAAAAGGTATAAAGCCGAGAGACGACAGAAGAAGATCAGAATCCGCCGAAAACACAAGACGCCCGAAGATTTTTGCGTGCTCTGACTTAGTAGCCTAGAATATATAAGTTTGTTTTTCTTTTATTTATTGGCTTCGCATATTAAACAGACATTATAATTATTTATTAAATTATTTATTTATTTATTTATTTAATCCAACAAAATTTCCTACATATTTTTGGTACTTTTCAATACGTAATAAAACAAATTTTTATACATTTTTCTTTGATACATTTTATACGATAATTTTATCCACAGCGTTTACCACACTGTTTATTCAAGAAGAATATAAATGAAAAAGAATATAAATAAAAATTATTTATATATTAACAATTGCTTACACGTAAATGTGTGATTAGGTAAAATAGCATATTCAATTATAATAATTTGTAAAAGTTACATAAAACTATTGTGTATTTGAATGTGTATATTGTATACATATACATATATATATATATATAATCTCCACAAAGAGAGACCGCGCGCGTATATCGTTTTTAATCCGCAGAGTATCGTTAGTAAACTTAGCGTTGACACAACGTTGCCCCCTCCCATCCCGATTGCGTCAAAATAATTCGTCACGGTTGTTTGCACCTATTTCCCGTTCAAGCAAGCTCTCTCTCTAACATTTGTGCAAATAAACGCGCTCTTACTTTGCCCCGCGCGAGATCTCTACAGGTTACGAGAAGATACCAGTTGGTGTATTCCAGATGTACAATACGACAGACATAAACACACGGGAGTTGTCGGGAGTGTTTCTATCGTGGACCACGAGAAACAGACGCGGCAGCACACACCACCGCGAGCGA